CAGAAGGCGAAGGCGAGAGGGCCAGGCAGCCAAGGGAAGTTGACTCAGCCACGCTGCCATGTATTCACCCGGACTGAGAGCGTTTTCCGCTTCTAATAAAATATTTTCTTTCCTCTCCTGGGAATGGTCCCCCCGCCCCGCCCCCATCATGCTGGCGGTTAACCAGCTCACAGAGCTCTGAGAACGGAGTCCCTTGTGCAATTGTGTGGCTGTCACTGACATGGGTCCTTTTCAAATGTGCTCAGATATACATTGTTGTCCTGAACTTTGCCTTTACTGCAAAGAATACTAGGCAAGCAGGATATTTACCTTCCTTTCAACCCGTACGTAACCTGAGCTAGACCCAGTCTGGTCTTTAACTCAATTTGCTTTCTCTTGGTCTCCAAGCCATGAAGCTCAGGGCCAGCTATTGTGCAAGGCTGCTTCTGAAATGACTCCTCGTGGTCCTCCCATGCTCCCTCCTGCTCATCCCTCCCCTTCTGTGGGGGCGGGGCCCAACCGCTCATTTCTAATGCACAGAATTGGCAGAAGAGATGAGATGTTACTTCTGAGATTAAAGTCTGAAAACTCAGATGTCGCCTGACCAGCGTGGCTCAGTGGCTGAGCACCGACCTATGAACCAGCGGTCATGGTTTGATTCTCCGGGGAGGGCACATGCCAGGGTTGCGCTCGATCCCCACTGGGGGGTGTGAGGAGGCAGCCAATCAATGATTCCCTCTCATCATTGATGTTTCTGTCTCTCCCTCTCCCTTCCTCTCTGAAATCAATAAAAATATTTTTTTTAAAAACAAGTCAGATGTCTGTCTTCCTGGCTCTCTCTTGTCCTCTTGTCTCACTCACCTTGGCGATGACGCAAGCTGCCCTGCTGGGAAAGTCCATGTGACAAGAAATAAGGGCCGCCTCCAGCCACAGTCCACAAGGAACCACAGGAGGGGAACCTTGGCATGACCTTGATTTCAGCCTTGAGAGCGACCTTGAGGGAGAGCAGCCGCTCTGCCAGGTCCTGGACCTACAGAAGCTGAGACAGTAAGTGTTGCTGTTTTAAACCACTAGGTTCTGGGTAATTTGTTATGCAGCGATGGATAACTACTAGAACAAACAAGGAGCTGGGTAATTATATTACATAACATCACTAATACATTATTAATAATATTGTCAACATACTAAAATTATATTACAAAGCTATAAAAGCATGCAGTTTAATTACAATAGTAGAAAGCTGACATAAAGAGTGAGTTTCATCGTGGAAAGCACTCTTCCAAGACTTTTGCTTTCCGTCTAATCTTCACCACAGCCCCTGAGAAAGCTAATGTAACTGCAGAAACGCATGTCTTCAACGTGGGCCTCTCTGTCTATCTATGGACCCCGTCCCTCCCCCAGGGCATCGGGTTCTGCTCAGCATCCAACAGTCTTAGGAACAAAGCCTCAGGTCTGTTGACCACAGAAACAGGGTCTGGGTCAAACTAGAAAAAACAACTTGACTTCAGGTGTGTTCCAGCCCTCGGCCCGTGAGAGGAAAGGGCACTAGTGGCCACACCTCCCCAAACTGGACAGACGACTCCATGGCTGAGATCAGGACTCCATAGGGTGGCCAACCATCCCCACCCTGGCCCCAGCCGGCCAGCAGAGCCCACAGCCCCAACTCCGGAGTCCTGGCCGCCCATGCCCTAGACGCCTCGGGGAGCCAGCAGAGCCCACAGCCCCAACTCCCGAGTCCTGGCCGCCCATGCCCTAGACGCCTCGGGGAGCCAGGTCTCGGAGCACGAGCTCACCTGCGACCCTGGTCCTGGGCCATTTCCTTCAAAGTAAAGCTCGGCTTGCTTGGCTGCAAACTCCTGTCTGCATCTGGTTGGGCTTCCTGCACCCAGCAAGTGGACCCCTTCAGCTCCATAACATGAACACATTTATTTGCATTTACAGAGGAAATAGAAGCTAGATTGGAGCCCTAAGCCTGTTCTTTGAACTGTGTGGTGAGATTACAAAGAAAACTGCCTCCATCTGCCAGAATCACTGGGTTCCAAGATCTTTCCTTGATGTCTTTCCTTTCCCTGGCAAGGTTCTGCTTCCCTCCCCCAGGCCAGGGGCTGCTTCCCTCCCCAGGCCAGGGGCTGACTCCCTCCCCCAGGCCAGGGGCTGTAGGGCTGACTCCCTCCCCCAGGCCAGGGGCTGTAGGGCTGACTCCCTCCCCCAGGCCAGGGGCTGTAGGGCTGACTCCCTCCCCCAGGCCAGGGGCTGTAGGGCTGACTCCCTCCCCCAGGCCAGGGGCTGTAGGGCTGACTCCCTCCCCCAGGCCAGGGGCTGTAGGGCTGACTCCCTCCCCCAGGCCAGGGGCTGTAGGGCTGACTCCCTCCCCCAGGCCAGGGGCTGTAGGGCTGACTCCCTCCCCCAGGCCAGGGGCTGTAGGGCTGACTCCCTCCCCCAGGCCAGGGGCTGTAGGGCTGACTCCCTCCCCCAGGCCAGGGGCTGTAGGGCTGACTCCCTCCCCCAGGCCAGGGGCTGTAGGGCTGACTCCCTCCCCCAGGCCAGGGGCTGTAGGGCTGACTCCCTCCCCCAGGCCAGGGGCTGTAGGGCTGACTCCCTCCCCCAGGCCAGGGGCTGTAGGGCTGACTCCCTCCCCCAGGCCAGGGGCTGTAGGGCTGACTCCCTCCCCCAGGCCAGGGGCTGTAGGGCTGACTCCCTCCCCCAGGCCAGGGGCTGTAGGGCTGACTCCCTCCCCCAGGCCAGGGGCTGTAGGGCTGACTCCCTCCCCCAGGCCAGGGGCTGTAGGGCTGACTCCCTCCCCCAGGCCAGGGGCTGTAGGGCTGACTCCCTCCCCCAGGCCAGGGGCTGTAGGGCTGACTCCCTCCCCCAGGCCAGGGGCTGTAGGGCTGACTCCCTCCCCCAGGCCAGGGGCTGTAGGGCTGACTCCCTCCCCCAGGCCAGGGGCTGTAGGGCTGACTCCCTCCCCCAGGCCAGGGGCTGTAGGGCTGACTCCCTCCCCCAGGCCAGGGGCTGTAGGGCTGACTCCCTCCCCCAGGCCAGGGGCTGTAGGGCTGACTCCCTCCCCCAGGCCAGGGGCTGTAGGGCTGACTCCCTCCCCCAGGCCAGGGGCTGTAGGGCTGACTCCCTCCCCCAGGCCAGGGGCTGTGGGGCTGACTTTCCTCCCCCAGACAGGGGCTGTGGGGCTGACTCCCTCCCCCAGGCCAGGGGCTGTGGGGCTGACTCCCTCCCCCAGGCCAGGGGCTGTGGGGCTGACTCCCTCCCCCAGGCCAGGGGCTGTGGGGCTGACTCCCTCCCCCAGGCCAGGGGCTGTGGGGCTGACTCCCTCCCCCAGGCCAGGGGCTGTGGGGCTGACTCCCTCCCCCAGGCCAGGGGCTGTGGGGCTGACTCCCTCCCCCAGGCCAGGGGCTGTGGGGCTGACTCCCTCCCCCAGGCCAGGGGCTGTGGGGCTGACTCCCTCCCCCAGGCCAGGGGCTGTGGGGCTGACTCCCTCCCCCAGGCCAGGGGCTGTGGGGCTGACTCCCTCCCCCAGGCCAGGGGCTGTGGGGCTGACTCCCTCCCCGGCCCCTAGGCCAGGGGCTGACTCCCTCCCCTAGGCCAGCTGCTGACTCCCTCCCAGGACAGGGACTGACTCCCTCCCCCAGGCCAGCGGCTGACTGACTTTGGCCTTGGTCTGTAGATGCAGTGACCTCACTCTAAGCCCCCTGTGGGGTGGGTCACCAGGCACGTGGTTGGTGATAATGGTCACCTTGCAGAGCTCAGACATGAGGGAGGGGCAGCTCCTGGAGAAGTGGGGAGGACATGGAGGGGGAGCTTGCGTGCACTCTGGTGACACCCACATTCCCATTTACCGGCATCTCCGAGGCCCACGCCTCTCCTGCCCGCGTGGGTCTGGCTCAGGGAGTCCTTCCTTTTCTGCTCATTTCAGTTCCTGTTGAGACCCAGCACTGTGCCCCTGCTCATGCAGGGTAGGTGCCAGTGCCACCCGAGCTGCTGGGGAGAGTGCCTGCGCCCACGGCGGGCATCACCATTTTCTTTTATGTGTGGTCGGCAACTTGGTAGCCTCCACCAGCAGCTAACCCCACATTCGCAGTGGCAGAACCCTTTGGCCCAGGGTTCCATCTTTAGGAGCCTCCACTATAGGAATATTAGCACAGCTGATGAAGAATATAGGACACAGGGAAACATTTGTACCAGCCACTCATCAGGGAAGGCTGGGGAAAGTCAGGGGCCCCCCACCCACAGTGAGCGCTCTGCACATGAAGGGACGGGTAGTCTGTCTATGGAAAGATATCCTTGGGAAAAGTCAAAGTGCAAACTATAATGCCGTTTGCAACAATAAACAGAAACCCAGTGTGCATCCCTGTACTCTGTTCACATGTGCAGGGAAAGGCGGAAACAGCTGGCGAGGAACAGAGGGCGCTCAGGGCTCCAGTGCTTCCCTCTATAGGTTTCTGCCTTGTTTGTTTGTAACTTGTATGCACCACTTGGTTAATTTTTAAGAGCAGTTCTAAGAAAGAAGAGAGTTTTTTCTAGTGTCGTGTTTTCTGAGAAGACACCCCCAGGAAGCACAGAGAGGTGTAGACTGGACAGGGACCCCAGGCCTCGGCTCAGCTCCTGCTCACGACTGTCCGACTGTCCAACCGTCCGGACAGACTCGGGCTCTTGTCTCCTGATGTAAAAACTTCAGAGCAGGGGCACTGGCACAGCAAAGGCGGGTTCCGAGGCTCTGCCGGTAGAGCACTGGGCTAGGGCCTCAGGCTTCCTGCCTCCAAGGCGGGGCTTAGGGGCTTTTATGGCTGAGGGCCTGGAAGTTGCTGGGGTTAAGCGACAGGCAGTAGGTCAGCAGTCTCCTTGTTTGGACACAGATGTCCAGGTATTAGGAGAGAAGTATCCTGGGGTTGGGCAGCATTTATTATGGGATGCAGAAAGGGACTTTCCCAACCAGCGATTGAGCTTGTCTCTGGGGTTGGTGGCTTGGCTTTAGATTTGGAAAACAAACTTAAAGGTCAGAGTAGCTCCTGCACCATTGATTGCTTTGTAGCTACCTATTGACGACTGCCATGTCCTGGTAGGCTTGACTTGAGGGAGCAATTTTAGGGAATATTTTATTCTACCTGTTTCAACTGGGGTTCAGCAGGCCCATCTGTCTGGCTTTGCTCATGCAGCTGAAAGGGGGGTTAGAGATACATGGTCACTAACATCCCCTCCAGTTTAGCAATTTATGAACACAGATTTATTTTTCTTTTTAGGTTTTATGATATGCGCAAACACAATTTCAAATTTAGAATGACATTTGGAAGATAGACATCAAACAAGATGCATGAGAATTAAGTATATCTTAATTATGGCATGGTAACCAATATTTTAAACCAAAAAGTCTCTCTCCTCTAAGTAAAGATTGTTCCTAGTGAAATGATGACTGCGTTGACTTTTGTGTAAAATCAAAGCCCACAGTATGTTTATTTGCCTTATATTTTGAGATGCCCCTGCAGGGGTGAAACTTCTGGAAAAGAAGGAGGGGTGGCTAATGGGCAGGGCCCGTGTGGGTCAGGGAGGTGCCTGGCAGCTTTGCACTCACCTAGCTAGGCTCCCGGGTCTGACAGGAGATCCCAGCATGCGCTGAGGGTGAAGCCTGGGTGTTTTAACCAGGGCGAAGAAGCCTGTTGGAGGCGAGGCAAGCTGAGTCAGGACTTCAGCCCCAGGCCATGTGATCCTAAGACAGGGCAGGAGGGCCTGTCAGTCTCTCAGCTCCCACCCCGGGCGTCCTGTGACTAGTCACTCCACAGGCACCTGCCTGCCAGGCGGCCAAGTCCTTGGATCGAGATCTCCCAGCTCAGTGTTAAACCACCTGCAGAATAGCAGAGCAGGGTGGGGAGGCGGAGGAGGGAAGCAGCCGTTCCCTGCTGAGTCATAAGAGCAAATAGATGCAGTGCGCTCGGGTCTGCCCCAACGTATGGTCCTTTTAACACGTTTCACGTCTTGGACCAGGTTGTGCAGCGACCCGTGGGGTCACTTTTCCTTTTCAGGTGCTGACCCGGGAAAGCCGCTGCTTTTCTAAGAAGGGCAAGCGCTCTGCTAGAATAAACACTAACGTTAGCAGGTAGTCTTTCTTAGGAATCCCTTACCAGCTTATTCATACGGGCATCTATTTACAAGCTGGTGTCACCCCCTGGAGAGTGAAACTCTTGCGGTCGGATTCATACGGGCATCTATTTACAAGCTGGTGTCACCCCTGGATAGTGAAACTCTTGCCCTCACACCCAGTCCGAGGCCGGCATTTGGCGCATCCACAAAGCCTTGCTGACAGACCGGGGAAGAAGTGCGGCCAGGCTGGTCCCAGTGATGGGCACATCATTTAAGCCATTCATGTTTGTTCACAAGCCGAACTTGATTGAACTTTCTGGAATGCAAACTCCACATATGCAAGGATTTCTGCTGTTTTGTCCACGGGTGGACCCGGGTCCCCCACAGCTTCCTGACGTCACCAGCGTGACTGTCCCGCTGTCTTCGTGAGCATACGTTCTCATTCCAGGAAACTCGAGGTCATGCAGGTGTTCATCTCCTTAACTTCCAGAACGACCTCTCAACTCTTCCATAGAAAACATGGAAAATTTACTCATGAAGATTCTCTGAACCCATTGCCGCAGAAATCCTCGCCTTGCTCCATCCGCCAGTTCTAAGTCGCGATATGGTGGTCCTTCCCCACCCTAACCAAACTCCCACCCATCGAAATACCTGCCTTACACCAAACTCCCAGTCCTCAGTGGATCCGCCCTGCCTTCCCGCGGGACACCGCCTGGCTGGGCTGGCGGGGCCCCTCACCCATAAGCCCCGTAAACTCCTGTGGTCTTGTCAGTGGGTCGGTGGGTGATATTTGGGGGCCAGCATTCAGCACACCTCAAGCAGCCTCGGACCCTCAAGAGGCCTGAATGAATGAGTAGGTGCAAGAGGATCATACGAGAGGGATCCGACACCTTATTAAGAGGCCTGAATGAATGAGTAGGTGCAAGAGGATCATAGGAGCCTAAATGAGAATGGGATCAGCCGTGAATCCTCTCCGGGGCCAGGACGATGGGGCAGAGACGTTCGCTGTCCACACCGGCACGCTGCCCGTGACGCCTTGCCCAGAGCAGGCGCGTCTGCCATGTCTGTTTGATCCTAAATGACTTTTCTGGAGTCTGAGCCCAATGGTATGCGTCAAGGTTCACGGAGCCACAGATGAGCGTGCTCCCGCCGCCTTCCCTCCGAATGCCGGGGGCCGAGGGCCCAGCCTGTCCCCGGGAAACGTCTGTGGGCCACGCCAGGTTTCCCATGTGAATCCCTTTGGATGCTCTTCCAGGAGAACCGGGTTTCCCACGGGGACTCTTCCTCGCTGAGCTGCTGAGCTGAGGCGCCTGCTGACAGTGAGGGGCCAAGGTCTCTGGTTCTGCACAGCCCGGAGCTGCCACGCGGCAAACTCCCACCCCGCGCATCAGTCACAGGGGGAGGAATTAAATCCGGGATGTCCCCTGCCCACTCAGCTGGAGTTTCCATAGGGAGCAGAGGGTACCCCCGGGCCCTAAGTCCCCACTGCGGTGTGAGCCTGCTTCCCTCCCCAGTGCCCAGGGTGAGCGGCGGGCAGATGGGCAGATGGGCAGATAGCGGGCCTGTATGCTTGCTTCAGGTTTCACTTGCAGCCCTGATGCCCGGAGCTAATCCTCCCAAGCTGCCGACTGAAACACCAACCCCCCAGGAGGACGTGTCCTTTCTCCCTTTCTTCCAAGCACAGCGAAAGCCCTGGTGCTTATCCTAAGAACATCTGAGCTCCGAAGCTCACATTTCGGGAGGGGGTGACAGAGATCAAGACTGTTTGCTGCCGGGCTCCTGAAACTGTATTCTTCTCTGGGCAGCGAGCTGGGCTGGGTCAGCTCCAAGCCGGACGGAGAACTCCCCAGAGCCAGGCCTCCAGCAGATTCCAGGAGTGCTCAGGCCTCGCCTCAGAGACACCCTGCTCTCCAGAAACTGTAGAAGGTTCTAGACCACACAGACAAATCGAGGGCTAAAAATCTAGCTGTGCTGCCCAAACAGGACTGTTCTGACAAGAAGGCTCTCCCTCGGGTTCTGAACCCAGGATACATTTGGCAACTGATTTGTCTTTTTTATTCATTTTTTCCCCCTCAACTGTCAAATATCCCTTTTATCTATTCCTGTGTTTACCAAACTATTAAAAAAACTTTGATCTTTTCCTCTTGTCATGTTAAACTTTCTCTTGTTTGCTCATATTCATTTCCCCAGCCTTTCCTCTCGGCCCTCACGTCCCATAGCCTGTGAAAAATAAAAACGACTGAACTTTTTGTCCTGCGTGGGAATCAGGTGCTGACACTGCTGGGTGTTACCAAGCCTGGCCTCACGTGATCTGCACAGTGAAGCAGGCAGGACTTACAGCCTCCTGTGCAGTTTGTAGATTGTAGGGGGGCGGGGTGGCTGTGGGCTGAGCCCAAACAGCAGGCCCCAGCGCAGCCACACTGCAGGGTGCACGGGGAGGGCCGGATATTCACCCCAAATACGTCTCAGGTCAAAAGGATTCTTTTCAGCTGATTATTTTTAAGACACAGGAGCTCTGAAAACTGAGTAAAAGTGACCCCTTTGAAAGGGAAACCTACGTTTATTAAGTGGATCTCCATTAGAAAGGGGCCTGGCCAGGAAGAGGATCATCAGAGACAAGGATTGATTGCTCCCCAGAGAGAGAACCTGCAGGAGGGGAACCCCTGCTCCCTTCCAGGCAAACTGCCTCCCCTCTGCAGCCCAGACTCCCACCCTGTCCTTAGCTCAGGAGGGTGCATGAGCCTCGGTGGTCTGGATGCCTTTAGAGTCTCAGATCTTTGGGGGGCTCCCCACGTAATTAAAATGGCTCCCCTCTACTGTTAATCTGCCTGTTATTACAAGGGGGTTTCAGCCAAGAACTCAGAAGAAGAGAGGGGCCATGCTTTTCCTCCCTTGCACCAGGCAACCCTCGGCTCTGAGACTGTCTGTCAAAAACATGGCAGATGGTGGGGAGATAGAAGAGGGCTAGGCCACAGAGGGGAAGGAAAATAGGGAAAGTCAGGCGGTCGTTGCTAAGCAACCCGGCTGGGCAGGGAAGAAGAGTGTGCAGGAGACCTGCGCTGTAAAATGTATGGATGTTGCTAAGGCAGAATTCTTTGAAAGGACCAATCAGAAGCTAGCAAAGCACAGATCTACCGCTAGACCAAGAAGAGCACGCTCTTCTCTCTGGAGCACTGGGCTCCTGGCTCTCCTGTGGCGGGGACAGGCTCCCCTGCGCCCGGGGCTTATGGCCATGTGGGACTCCACGCATGGACCAATGGACTGTAATTAGCTCGGACGCTGGACCACACCGGCTGCAACATGGAGCGGACGCTCTGGGCCCGGCCTGCTTCTGGCTCTCCTGGAACCCCAGCTGCCCCTTCCCCAGGACTGGCTGAAGGGGCAGGGACTTTGCAACCCAGACAAAGAAGCTTTGGCGGCAGCCTGCTTGCCCCCCCCACCCCATCCCTGAGGCCAGCAGGAGGTCAAGGCTCTCTTGCCCTGCCCTCCCCCCCACCCCCACCCCCGCCTGCTGCAGGGAGTCCGTCTATCCCTCAATAAACTTTGCTTCCACTTCTGCTTACCATCTTTGTCCGTGAACTAATTTTTCGACTTTGCAGGACAATGAACTCAAACCCGAACAGAAATGTTGGCATCAATGGGTCCTGCCTCTTGAAATCACTGCAGAAATTACAACCTGGAAGGAAACCGGAGGGAGGACCAGCGGAAACAGTCAGCTAACGTGGTGGCTGCACGCCAGCGGAGCCTCCAGACCACTTCCACTGAACAAAAGCAGCATTATCAGATTAGGAGCTGCGGGGAACGGCCTGTGCCGGCAGGATTAAGCTGCCTCAAAATTCCCTAGGACCCGCTGACAGCTGTTTTCATTTCAATACTCCTAGCTTTATGAGCGATACCTAAGGAACAGTGAAGACTCAACATGGTTTCGACGACTTTAGAGAAAAACTGATCCCACCCCATCTGCCACCAGCTTGAAGTCACACAGGCCACAAGTCACCTTGAAAAGTTATTTCCCACAGAACTGGGTGACTAACTCCCAGCGTGCGTTTTAAACATCTAGACTCCAGAGATTGCAATCAGAAGGAAGACTCTCTGGCTGTTCATTTCAGCGAGTTGATGAGTTACAGCCGCCCGATTATTTGAGGAAAGAAGGGAAGAGATGTGCCATTGTCGCTGTCACTATGACATACATCCAAACCTCTAGAGAATTTTTATGAGTTTATTTTAGCCAAACTGATGGCAATTGCCGGAAAGCAAAGTCTCAACAGATTGAGAAAATGCTGCAGATAATGGCAAAGCAGAAGACATAAGGGGGTTACATGAAATCCACTGGTGATGGATGGAGGAAGCAGGAGAAAGCAAAGTGGGGAAATATCTAGGATCGGGTAGGAAGCAGACTGGAGACACACACGCTTCTTTACACTGAGGGCACCGGAGAGTTAATGCCCTCACAGCAGAGAGAAGGTGCGCAGGGGCCAAGATGAGGATGAGGGTTCTTGGTCGCCTGGCCTGTCCGAGAGACTGCGCCCTGAGGGTCTGGAGGAGATTACTCTGAGATTCCCAAGGAATGTCATCCTGGTGCAAAAAGATGAGAGAACGAGTTAAAGTCGAGCTGGACCTTTGCCGAGGAAGCTGCAGGCCTAGGACGGACTACCCGCCCTGACTTGCTACTAGTTAGGAGATTTCATGTTCAGACCCTCCCATGTGGTCACTTTCAGTCTCTGCCGTGCAGGCCTCCCCTGAGCCTGTCGGGTTCAGCATGCGGCCCCTTTGTCGTCCACACTACTGTGATGTGTATTTAACAATCTCTCTCAAGAGGAAAGAAAAGGTAGGATGCAGATAGCAAACATTCTGCGAGGATTTCAGTGTAAAGTGGAACAAGAGGGCATGAAATGAAGACCCGCACACGTGCCCTCAGAGAAACGGAACTGGAGAACAGGTGTCAGGGGCAGAACTAGAACAGTGGGGACCAGCGTAGTCATAAGAAATACTAATCGTGCTGTTACCCTTGACGGTTCTCTTCTGATCAGAGAGAGCACTACTGGCTGGGAGCTGTGCGCCCAGGACCTGGGAGCTCACGGAATGCAGTCCGTCCTCCTGCCCCGAGAACTGCCTGCTGTCATGGGAAGATAACCACCTCGTGGCTGAGACTATCTGGTCCCGAGGCACTGCCCTATGCGAGCCCAGCCCCGCCCGCACTGCCTGTAACCGTATGCCTGGCCCCCTTCCCCAGGCCTGTAATTCCTACTGTCCTGTGTCACCTTTGTCCTTCTACCCCATTGAAGAGCTGGCTGTGGGGAGGGGAGCAGATTGTGTGGATGGCCTGCTGCTCTCCCACGCTGCCGGCAGGATTGGAACAGACGCTCAGGTAGGATTCGACCTGTCTCTGCTGAATTGGCCCCAGAAGCCCCTTGGTTGTCTGGTTTCACAGGGACAGTTATTTCGAGCCAATGTCTGACGAGCAGAGAAGCAGAACTGCCCCTGACCAGCAAACGTCCACCAAGAACCCTCCTCAACCTCAGTCAGTCACCTTCCGTGGACTCAGGCTGCACCCCTTGGCACCCCGCCCCATACACGCAGCCCCCAGCCCTCGGCGCCTCCCCGTGAACTCCGGCCGCACCCCTCGGCACCCCTCCCCATACACGCAGCCCCCAGCCCTCGGCGCCTCCCCGTGAACTCCGGCCGCACCCCTCGGCACCCCTCCCCATACACGCAGCCCCCAGCCCTCGGCGCCTCCCCGAGGCTTGCTGCCCTGCGAGGTTCCCAACGGCACTTCCTCTGTCTGTGCCCGAATGAGCTCCATTTCTGGTCATTTGAGCCTGCCTCGGTTTACCTCTTTATTTAGGTTGACAGTGTGGGCGAGACAGACCACTGTGACATTGGTGAGGAAATTCCGGATCCTGGGCTGAGCAATTCTGTAAGGAGAACGACAAAACGTGACCAAACATGATGCGTCGCTCACACTGCAAAGCGTGTGCATGCGTGTTTGGAGACCCGAGCCTTGTGAACGTGGACGGTGACAGCTGGCGTTCGTGGTGAGGTGCAGGTGGAGTTACAGGTAAATTGGCAGCGCTTCACAGCGACCACTTACTCCTGTGCTTGGGAGGGACGGTGAGCGGACGAGAATGTTGAGCTCTGGGCCCTCCCGTCTGAAACCTCAGCTCGGACGCACCCAAGGAGGAATTCCTCTTGTACTGCAGCGCCGTCACATGGGCTGTGACTAGGGGAGACAGGTAGCACCTCGGGGTCCCTTCTACCCCCAGGACCGGGGCTCCAGTCTGTTATCTCACAGAGCAGGAAGGTCCGAGGGGTTCAGTTAGGGTTATATGCCTTTCGCCAGGCACACGGACGTCACTGAGCTTTTATAGCCTCTCCAAGAGGAAGAAAAATATTTCAAACCAGATCGGAACTAAAAACTGAGAGCCACCAGGAAGGAGCAAGTGTCACCGGGAAACCCCCGGGTGGGCTCGGGCTGCCTGTCGCTGTGTCCAGTAACGAAGGCCGGGTTGAATCACGTAAGGCGTTTACTGAGCAGGCCAGCCAGCCAAGAAGACAGGGCGCTCAAGCATCAAGCCCTGCCTTCCAGCAGGTACTGGGAACCGGACTCTAAAGGGGAAGGGGCTGGGGGAGGATGGGAACGGGGTGCAGCCACGTGCAGCCCTGGAGTCCGAAGGCGTCAGCTATTGTCCTTGTCATCAGGCGATGAGATGATGTGGAGGAGATGATGTTTTGGCTCCTGGTGGGCCAGCCTGACCATGCTTATCGGGTCTGCTTGCTGGATTCACAGCTGAGTCACCGCCTCCATTGCTTCGCACAGGCCTTGGAAAGGAAACTTAAGAAAAACTTAATCCCTCTTCACATGTAAGAAACTTAACCCCCTATGCACATACGTGTTCTAAGATTTAAAATAATATGATTACTTTTCAGATGAATTCAGGCGCTCTATCTATCAGATTATAGGTCCCCCATCACAAGCAGAGCAATAGACAAACCAAATAGGGCCTTTTGTATTCTCAAATGTTCGGGTGCTTCAACCAGAACCTCCCATGTCAGCATCCTGTGGAGCCGGGCAGAGGGCCACCTGTGTGGTGACCGCCTGTGTGGTGACTGCCTGTGTGGTGGCCGCCTGTGTGTTGGCCGCCTGTGTGGTGGCCGCCT